TGTCAGGAATATACCCAAGCATGTGACCCTTACGTGATAGAGGAAATATTAGTGGGTTATTAGTGGACAAAACTTTAACTTTCAAACAAGGTATTAGGATAAATGAGTTCCCATGTGGGGAAAAAAGAAAATTAGGTCCCTACCTCATTCTATCCATAAAGTTAAAATCCATTTTGATTATTGAAGATTTTAGTAGAGAAAAATAAATTTTAAAAACGTGAGAGAGACAGAGAGACTTGTGGAGAAAATTACTTGTGCAGCAAATGTGGTGAAGGACATATATTTGTATATGGGAAAATTCAATACCTTAAAGAAATGCAAATCTCTCCAAGCAGTGTTTTCCCACGTAAAGCCTGAAATTCTTCTGCACCTGGATTACCTGGATTGCTTGTTAAAATGCAGATTCTGAGCCACCATTTTAAGTCTACTGAATCAGCATGCCTGAGAATGAGGCCCAGACATCTGCATTTTAGAAAGCTATCTGAATTTTTATTTTGTGTACTAAATTTCGAGAACTTTTACCTTAGGGAAGTAGCTCATAACTGCAATTGCATATGAGAATCATCTGGGGCAATTTTTTCCAAGTCAGATGCCCAGGCCACACCCCACACTAATCACATCAAAATTTATGAGAAAGGCACCTATGCACTAGCATTTTAAAAATTCTCCAGTGATTCCAGTGTGCAGCTGAGGCTGAGGACCTCTGCCCCAGGTAAAGTTGAGACCAGAGTCAGGTCTGCAAGGTTTGCTGCCTTCCCCATTTGAACATTGACTTCTAGTGCTGACCTAGTAGGACTGGACTGTATCTTGATTACAGAAGATACAACTTCCTTACATAAAGGTTATAATTTACTCATTTGGTATTCCTAGCATCCTGTCTGATACATAGGAGGGGCTTGGAGGTCATTTGCTAAAGGAAATTTAACTAAATGTAACTGAATGAAATGAAAGCAATATGTAGGTGGATAAAATTTTCACTGGACTCTAAAAATTCCACTGGATTTAATAAACCTATATGGCACCTAGGCACAGTGTTACACTGTGGGAGGTATAGAGATGAACAAAATACTGTCTGGCTCTTCAAGTGTTCATTATCTCATGTGGGAGGTAGACATGGACAAAAATACCTTACAATCAAGCAGACAATGAAAAGTACACAAAATATAAAAAGGAAATAAAAGAAAAATTAGTTCTGAAAGGCAGGACCTGGCAGGTGTCACTGAAGATTCAATATCGGAGACTGACCTTGAAGTATTACTGGGAATTATGCAGGAGCAAACTAGAGAAATTGGCAGTTGCCCTATAAACACAGGCAGCCTGCACAGCATAAACCAAGTTAGGTGGCCTTTCTCCAACCTATGGACTATAGGGCAGATATAGAAGGCTCCTTTTCTTTCTGATTTCCTTGTTACTGTTGTCATTTTTCAACATTTTGCATCTGGTTTATTAATTCTACCTCCTCATGCCTCAGCTGATTTCTTCTAGGAAAAGTTTCTCATTAGCATTTCTATGGGGAGCACCTGCCACCCCATCTAGCCCTGTTAACTGAGGGCTAGGGCACTGAGATTGAGAGGAGAATTTTAATCCCATCCTTATGACTCATCTATTTTCTAATTGAGAATGCTAGGTCTAGAGTCACAAATGGCTGTGCAGTGAAATCCATCCTTAACATTGAAATGATAACAAAGGCGTGCTTCTTAACTTTGTAATATCATCTATGTAATATGAATGTATTAAAAATTAATCAACTTTATGATTGTGAATAATTCTAAAGATACCTTAGACACCACATGAGTGCAAAAATCTCAGGCTAATGTAGATAGGTTATGAATTAGGTGAATTGATGAATAGGGAAGATTTCTCAAAATCATAGTGTCAAAGGACACTTGATGTTATCTACCAACTGTATATTATTGGGGAAAACCAATTAGTAGGTATATGGCTCCAGATGCTGAATATAATTTTACATTATATACCAGTATATTAAACTGATGGATTATGTGTCCTTTCTCTATTTAAGCAAACTGCTCACATCAATACCATGTGACAGATGTCATTTGTAAAGCCCATGAGATGAACCAGTCACCATGGTGTAAGCCCCCATGATTTATGTACAGTGGCAGAAGAAAAGGGTTTGTAAATCAAATTATCATTGAAATGGAGGCCAGTGTGGCTTCTCAGGCAATGAAAGATTCATCTACAGCAGACGAAGCACATACTTAAATTTAGGAGATATTCAGAATCGTAGCAAGGAAAAGAATGTGAGACAATAGGGAAGGAAAATCAGTGTTCCAGATAAGCCCACAATTTCCAGGCATTTTTTTCTTTATAGTATATTTACTTAATTATTTTATTTATTTATATCTACTTTCACCAAAAATGCATTTCCCTGTTACTGGTTAATCTTTTTTCTGGAACAAAAAAGAATGTTAAATTTCACATCAAATTTGTCACGCACTTAAACTGTCCATTAAATAAATTGATGTCTCTTAGCAGTAATCATACTCTTCATGTTTCAAAAACCTGATCATCCAGCAAAATGGGAACTGCTGGCCCCAAAGTCATATGCATAATTAAATTTTACAGAAGATATATATTAGAACAAAATATTTTTTGAGGTGCTCAGAGATTTTTTTTGACAGGTTGGTGGAATTCTGATAGCCACTAAAATAATCACTCTCACCAGACTCAAGAACATTCAATCCAATCACTTGCAGTATGTGTGCAATTCTAACTGTAAAGCATGACATGCTTACTGTACAGTTACAGTATTGTTTTGGGGGAAGAGGCTAAACAGAACAAATGTACAAGACAAAATATTGGGAATGAATTGTATCTGAAGGGTGGGTCATTTCCTGACTGACCAATTATTCATGGACAAAGCAAGTCCTACCAACTTGGAAACAAAACTGAGTAGAATCACCCAAGGAGATATGAGAATCTGGGGTCTCTTTTGATTGGCATGGACTCTATGGAGGTGAGGGGAGTTGCTTCCTGCCAGGTGGGTGCTAAGGTTCCACCTGCCACAAGTTGATAGAATGGGAGCAGGAAGATAAAAAGGTCAGGCCAGGAATCTATGATGTTGGGTCAACCTTAAGGTTCTTGGGGAATGAACTAGGGCCTTGTAAATAAGAGAGCTGTGGCAGAATCACAAAACTACATCTTGGCTTTGTTTTATGCCCCTTGCTTATTTGCGTTCTTTCTTTCCTTTTTGATCCTCCCTTGGTAGCAGTATAAAGATACTGTGAAAATTCTACCTCCTGATGGCTATGAACCAAGGACAATGATTGTGTCCTTCCCTGACCCACAGCTTTGAAAGGAAGTGGTGAAATATTGGGGTACCAGTGTGCTCATGATAACAATAAACCAAGAAAAAAATGCCAATTGGAAAGTGGAGTTCAGGAAGATGGAGTAGAGGCTAACTGATTAGCTGCCCCTTCTCATTGGGAAATGCTTTCCAGAGTTAAAACCTGGGAAGGGGTGTGGATTTTGCCTTAACAATAGATGATGCCTATGCTATTCTTTCATCAGTGTATGAGGGAGTGCTTGTTATGTTTACTAGAGAAGAACATCAGTCTGACATGAGGCTACATATAGGGTCTTGGCAAAAGACACTGAATCTGCAATCCTCCCAACCACACCCTCTTGCTGGAAGGAGGCAACTGGCTGTGGCATTGATGAAGGACCCCATAAACCACATTTTGAACACCTCTAGCTTAATTGTTCATCATGCATATCTGCTTCCCCAGAGACCCCGAAGCCCAATGTTAGATGTTTACAGTCGTTAGCTCATTGATTTGGATTGAAACATAAGGGTGGGACTGAAAGATAAGCATTCAGAAATACACATTGGATGCAAAGGCTGAGAAAGAAGGCTGAAGGGGCTGAAGCTGCAGCAGAGGGAGAATTATAGAAGGATGGAGAGAGAGGATATGCTCTTGTTTGATGGCATTCATTTACAGGGAATTCAGATGTATTAAAGAGGAAGTCCTTGGTGGTAAAAGAGTCAGAAACACATCTGGAGAATTTAAAAGGAAAGGGGGAAGGAGATGCAAAGGGGAGAAGACAGGATGTATCTAGAAAACTGGAAATCAGAATAATGAGGCATCATACAGAAGGTCAGAATGGAACCAAGATATACCATTCACCTACTAGGTGCCAGGCACATTTCTTCTGAATCATCTCTTTAATCTTCACAATGTCTTAACACAGTGCCTGGCATATAGTAGGTGCTAAAAAAATGTGCTGAATATTTAATATGAAATTAATAAATGCATGAGCAATTCTAAGAGAACAATATATTATCCACCACACCTTACAGATAAGCTCAGTAAGGTTCAGAAACTTGCCCAGTGTATCACAACTAAGAGACTATGGGATTTGACTCCAAAGACGCTGGTAGAAGGAGGAGGGTGGCCTGTAAGCCTCCTGGGGGTGTGGTGCTAGAAAAGGGTGTGGTGCTTGGGTATCTCCCAGGGACTGAGAGGGGAAGGAGGAATGAACAGCCAAGTGACCAGCTAGGGAAGAGAGGCAGTTGGTCAGTGGGAAAGCACTCTTCTGGAAGGATGGGGCCCTGCGGTAAGGCATCAAGGCCAGTGGGCTGCAGCTGAGCCGGCAAAGGGCAGCATTCCAGGCTAAAGCAGCTGGTGAGCTGGCTGGGGTGTAATGGAGGCACAGCCTGTGAAGAAATTGCAAAAGATCTTTGGTGAGCAGGCAGAAACCTGAGGTGGGACAGAGATGGCGGAAAGGTGGCTAAAGTGGTAAAGTGAAAGACCCGGGCAGGTCGGGATGGATAATACTAACAGCTTTCACAAAGGAAAGAGCGGAAAGAAGTCAGTCCTGGGCGGGCTCTTGGGTCCGGGCTGGGGAGAGGGTGTGGTCTGGGATGGGAGGGGCAGGCCGGATGTGAGGCCTGCGACGCGGGAAACGAGCCATGGGCAGACATCGGGAGAGGTAAAGGGCACCTGTCCCCGTCTCGTGTGCTGCAACTCGCGTCTCACCTGTAGGAGCTGCTCACCGCGGTCGCCACCTCCTCGCGGATTTGCCTGTTGAGGGCGTCCGCCGCTGCACGCCCCTTACTACCCTCGGGCCCCGCGGCCTGGACCTGCGCCTGGGCTGCGGGCAGTGGCGTCTGCTCGAGCCCCAGCCCCTCGGCGCGACGCACCATCCAGGCGGGCCCGACCTTTCTGCGTGTGTCGCGCTCGTCGGCACCGGATGCCTTTCCAGCTGCGAGGCCACCCGCTCCTCCCGGGGCCCCCTCCTGCTCCGGGGCCTCAGCGGAGGCCTGCACAGGCCAGCGCTCCTGACTCTGCGGCCGGCGCTTGGGCGCCCCGAGAATAGGCGCCGAAGCCTGGGAGGTCGTGGGTATCTGCACGGGCTTGGGGATCCACGGGTGGTCCCCGCGGCGCGGCAGCGGCCAGGCGCGGAAGTCTTTCTGGTACTGAGTCTCGCGCTCGAAGGGCGCGTCGGAAGGCTGGTACTCGCTGCGTGGCCGGCAGCTCGGCTCGGGCCGCTGTACCTTCCAGGCGCGGTAGTCCTGACGCATCACCGAGTCCGCGGGGCCCGCGCTGGAAGTGGAGCCGGAGGCTGGGCCCGGGCCGGGTCCGCTCCGGCCGGAGGCTGCAACCGCCTCGCGTTCGCCTCCAGGCCCGGGCGCCGGTCCTGTTGCCCGGGCAACTGCATCCAACTCGCCCTGGGCAGGCTGCGTCTCTATGGCGACCGCCCGCGCCGAGGGGGGTGCGTGCGCCGGCTGCGGCGGCGGTGGCGGCTGCGGCGGGGCGCTCGGGTGCTCGGTGGCCTCCGAGTACTTGGTGAAAACCAGCGGCACGGCGATATCCGCCTTGTCCAGCTGGTTCCAGAAGCGGGCGATGCAGCAGGCCCGCGTGATGCACGGCCACGCCATGATGCTAGCCGGCCCTCGCTCTTCCTTTCTGTGGTTCTAAAGCAAGTCTCTAATCTTATTTTGGTTCCCTGACCCTCGAACAGCCAATCTGGTTGCCACCGGTTTTTCCTTGGTGGCCTGAGCTACCTCGCCCTCCACCCTCAGAGAACACCCGGGAAGGTCCGACCGGCAAAGCTATCACTGAGATAGGTCTAGTCTCTCGATTACCCGCAGCAAACGCCTCCGGGAGCCTCCTGCAAACGTCTTGGGAGCGCAGTCTGCTGCGTGCGCCGAAGGGCGAGTGAGAGACGCGGCGTCCCCAAGTCCCCGGAGGAGGGCGTCTGGGACGCGCCCCTCCCTAAGGCTGCGGAGGCGCGCAGACCCCGGCCGAACGGGGCGACGCGAGGCGAGGTGGCTGCGGGCTTAAGCCATGGCGCAGAGGAAGGGCCAGGCAGTGTGGCCGCAAGGTCCGCGGACGAGGCTGTGTTCTCCTTCCCACCGGCGTCCGGTGGCAGCCGGCAGCCAAGCAGGACTCGGAGGCAATCACCTCCAGTGGAGACGGAGCATTGCTGCATCCGCCGCCGCCGCCGTCTCTGCAGCAGGGCAGCTGCCGCACCCTTATCTGCCTCTCAGCCAGGGGAAAAAAAATCCAGGAAAGATGCTGAGAGAAAGCGCGCTGCAGAAAAAAAATCACCTGCTGTCGTCAGCGCGCGCTGCCTAGAGCTCGCCCTCTCTCTTTCCCCTCCTCCCTCTGCTCTGGCAGCTCCTCCCTCCTCCGCTCCTAGGCAACAGCAGAATCAGGGGCCTGGGTGGGTTCGAGGTCCCAGGCTCGTGATGACTGGCTGTTCTGACGCTGGTCGCTTCCCCTCCGGGAGCCTTACTGATCCTCTTTGGTAAAATAGGATCAGTTATGGAGGGTAGAGAGATTAAATTTTTTAAAAATATGGAGGAAACCCCTAGTGAAATGTCTGTCCCAGAATAGATAGTTTTTAAAACGAGAGCTGCTGTTATTGGTCAATCTCTGGGCTGGATTTGAACCCAGGGCGGCAGGCTCCTGATCAAAGCAATTTAAGTCTTATGCACAGGCCTTGTTCAGATATATGTTGATGGGAGCCCCCAGACTGGGGGTGTGCTGGCTGTTCCTTTCCTGGGGTAATCTTGGGGGAAGGGTTGTCTTAAAGCCTCCCCAAAACTCCTAGTCCCAGTTTCAGCTCAGCGGCCACATTGAGGGAGAGACAGTGGAAGGAAGATTCTTGGGGGGACTGGGCCTCAGTGGGGAGCTTGGGGGTGGATGGGAAAAAGGGGACAATGTCCTAGGAAAGGGTAATAAGGCCTGACATGCAGGGGCTCTGTGGTATGTTCCTGACCCCTGGCTTTTTGTCTTCCTCTACCTGGGAGGCACAGTCGATTTTGGAATCAGACAGATCTGGTTTGGCTCTGACATTTACTGTCTGTGTCACTTGGTCACCCAGCGGCCTCAGTCACCTCATTTTTAGCATAGAGGAAATAATAGGCACCTTAAAGTAGTTCTGTAAAGATAGTTAAGGACTCAAAGCAGAAGCCTTGAGTCAAATCAAGTATGCAGGTATTCAAATCCTGGCATCATTCCTAGCTGTATGCAACTTTCTGACCCTTAGTTTACCTATGAACAGGCAGGGGTACCAAACTGAATTTGCAAGGTTGTTTTGAGAATTAAAATGAGATAATGAGATAATGTACTAAAAGTGCCTACCACAACATCTGGAATATAACAATGGTTCAATAAATAAGGACCCACCCAGGAAATGCATAGGTGGAGCTTCCCAAGTAAGCCAGGCACTTGGACACCCTCTCCAGAAGATCTCTTACTCTTCCAGGTGCCTTTTGGTCTCTCTTTGATGTCCCTCCATTTATGTCTCTTGCACTGACTTCTACTCCCTTCCATTAACTACATCCACTGTATGTCAGCTGTGTCTCTCCAATATAGGCAGAGTTTTCAGCATCAATTAAACTGGGGGCATTGGTGTTTCTGGGGCAGAAATTCATTTATGTGTTTAGATTGGGGACTGATTGCAAAACAGCTGTTTTGTTTTGTTTTTTGACCTTAGAATCAAACAGGATGAGAAGACAGCTCTGTTTAGTCAATTATCTGCTGAACTTCCTCCTACTTAGGCTTTGCTTCTTGGTGATTTAATTTGAGTTCCACAAATAAAATGATGCTCTGCACTGTTTCCCAGTCGTTAAGAGATACATTTCTATAAACAACATAATCTGGTGATGATTTAATTTGAGTTCCACAAATAAAATGATGCTCTGCACTGTTTCCCAGTCGTTAAGAGATACATTTCTATAAACAACATAATCTGGTGTGACCCCTCCTACCCTCAAATCTGCAGAACTCCCTGGGATTTGACTGATGTCTTTCCAATAATGACTTCCAAAGGCATTGGAAAGTGGCAGAGGGGGAGTGGAAATTGGTGGGAGGCAGGGCACTGAGAGTCATTGAGACTTTATCCTACTTTCATTTACCAAGTCAAGTCTCCTGAAGCCCACTCTGTGCCTTGGGCATTGTGAAACACAAGTGGATTCTCGCTGTGGAGGAGCCCTGAATTAGAGGGGTATGTTATAGGAGAACTGGGAGACAAACATATAAACAAATAATTAGCAAACAGTATAATCAGCATAACAGAGGTCCATTCACAAGGTGCTGACTGAATGACTGAGAGATGTGTAGGAGCTCTCCTATCAGAAGTGTAAGTAAAACTGTTCCAGGCAACTTCATCATCAGTACCACCTTTCACATTCATTCATTTGAAATTTTTAAGCACATTCAACCATACAACCTCCTTGGACCATCCAGTGGCCCAATGGGGTAGACTAGTCTAATGGTTGTCTATTATATGGCTTATTCAGCATCCATTGTGATGGTGTGAGAAATGCACTCACTGGTCCAAACTCAGTAAATGGATACAGAGACAAAGAACAGCAGAGCAAGGCTTTAATGGCTGTCTCGCAGGATTGGGTGTCTGGTGAGCAGGCACACCTGAGGCCATTGGCACAAATAATTTATTCCCTAGCACGTGAGCCCCTGGTTCATCATTGGCTGAGTACTATAGGGTTTATATTCTTTCCTGGATATCGCCTAAGCAAGTTCTTTCCATATTAGGCTTTCCCTTACATTTGTCTTAATTTTATTGGCAGGTTTAAAATTTCTTTCTTTTCTCAAATAGGTACAGCCCTTTCCTTATCAATTCCCCCACCCCCACCCCAACTCTCAGCCTGAGCAACTTCCTGGCGTATTTTTCACCACGTGGCCCTTTGTTAATACCTTACTGTTAAAACGTTTAAACCTGGTGGGAATAAATCACGTTTAGGTTTTATGCTTTTTCTAACAATGGTAGCAGCAGCTCATTCATTTGACTCCATATGGTTTGGGTGGAATTAACCCTACTCAATCCATCTTCCAGAAGTGACTGTGTGACCCGCAGCTGTTTACCAGACCACCGCATTCCCCTGGCCAAAGTGACTAGTTTAGTGATGGGCATGTGATTCACATTACACCAGTTAGAGGAAATCCTAGGCTTTAGCTGGAACTATTTGTAAAGAGCCACTCTTTTTTTTATTGGAATTGCTAAAATGGGGCATCATGAGGATACGGTTGTTAATCACCATTTTTGCCATCACTGGGGGGAGGCTGCCTGCCTAAGTTTGAAGCAAACAGAGAAAATCAAAAGAGGATACAGGATTCTGATGATGTGTATGGAAGACTGCAGTTTACTCCCCAAAGTCCATTCTCACCTTCTTCCTTTTAGTAACAGAAGACTCAGGTTTTAGTTGGGCTCTTGGTTACCCAGCCAGGGATTACATTTCCCAGACTCCTTTGCAGCAAAGAGCGATCATATACACTTCTAGGTCACTTCTTTAAAAGAAGTGCTTGCATTCAACTCCATCTTCCTCCCTTTCCATAGGGTAGAATGTGAATATGGTAGAAGTGAATTATCATCTGGGTGGTTAAAATGACTATGATGGGGTGGTTAAGAATATTCTGGTGCCTGGGTAGTGGAGGGTAGAAGGACCAGATAGAAGAAATGTATCTTGGATGACTCAGGGGCAGAGCTGTCTAGCAGCATTGGACCACCCGATTGCTTCTGGGCTGTTCTATAACAAAGAAATACACTTCTCTTTTGTTTGAGGCACTGGAGGTCTCTGCTGCCATATTTTAGTCATTTGAACGCTTGGATATGGCCATGCTTGAACTAATTTGAGGTATATGAAAACAGCATGGAACTAAAATACTGGAAAATAATGTTATGTAAGATGGAAAGGAGGGATCAGAGTTAAAGTATTCTAAAGTCCTTATTTGTTTGTGAGGAGAGTAGAGATATTGATTAACTTATTAACCTAAAATATTTGTTGACTTAAAAATGCACATTGAAAGAAAGAAAAAGGAATACAGAAATTTTTATTAAGGCCAAAAAAGGGGTAAAAATGAGCAAAGAAAAACAAGGCAAATATAACATAAGGTGGTAGAAATATTTCTGAATATATTAGTGATGAGGTAAATGTAAATGACCAAAGCTTTCCAGTTAAAAGACTGAGACTGTCAGATTGAAGAAAAACACAAAGAAAATGTAATTATGCATTGTTTGTAAGAGACATATTTAAGTGTCTCTTCACACATAAATGTGGGTGAAAATGATGGAAAAACATGCAGTAAGTAAATACTAACCAAAAGAAAAATAGTTTTAAAATAAAAAGCATTATTAGCGGTAAAAATAGTCATATTAAAGTAGAAGAAACAATCAACTAGAAATATATAACAAGTTTTGCATCTAACAATATAGCTTCAAAATAAATAAAACTTGGTAGAATTATAAGAAGAAATGCATAAATTCATCAGCATCCTCAGATTAAAAAAAAACTGAACTAACTGGTAAAACAAACACTTATAATGTTAGGAATGTAGAAGATTTGAACAATTAATAAGTGATCTAATAGGCTGTGTATCCAACAGTTAGTGAATACATATTCTTTTCAAATATACATTGAATATATAAAGATTGATTATATACCAAGCCCCAAAACAAATATAAACAAGTACCAAAGATTCATACAAATCCCCTTTTCTAATGAGAATGCAGCAATATTAGGAACCAGTAACACAAGATAACCACAAACCTCACATATGTGGAAATCAAGCAAAGAAAACTATGTCCAAATTAATTCATAGGTTTAAAAAGAAATTGTAATGAATACTAGAAAATATTCAGAGCTTAAAGAAAATGAAAAATTGCATATGAGGGTTTATGGACACAGCTAAACACAATATTCACAGGGAAATGTATAACCTAAATACATAATTTAGAAACAAAGATTAAAAAAGCTCTGTTATTACAAAGCAAAATTGAAGGAACAAAATGGCAGCAGACTCAAGAGACTCCAATAAGGAACTACTCGTTACCAAAGGGGAGGGCGGGTGGGGTATGGGAGGGAGAAGGGGATTGAGGTGTATTATGTTTATTACACATGGTGTGGGGGAATCACGGGGAAAACAGTGTAGCTCAGAGAAGGCGAACAGTGAATCTGTGGCATCTTACTACACTGATGGACAGTGACTGCATTGGGGCATGGGGGGGACTCGATAATATGGGTAAATGTAGTAACCACATTGTTTTTTCATGTGAAACCTTCATAAGAGTGTATATCAATAATACCTTAATAAAAAATTAAACAAAATAAAATGAAAATAAAAAAATACTCTGTTATTAGACTCAAAAAGTTAGAGATAGTACAAGCAAACCAAAGAAAGTAGAAGGGAGGAAAAAACCTCAGAAAATAGCAAGGTAATTAAAGAGAAAACAACAATACATTACAGACTGTCAAAAATCCAAAAGCTTCTTTAAAATACACAAATCTCTTGACAGGTTCATCCAGAAACAAAAACTAACAAAAAACAAGTTTAGGATTGTAAAGAGAGACAATGGTGGATATAGCAGAGATTTAAAGAATCATTGGCAAATACTAATTACTGTCTGCTGATAAATTTGAAAAACTTGGGTGATAGCCAGCTTCCTGGATGGCCCACAATGATCTTGATCCCCTGGCGGCCACAACCCTGTAGAGTCCTCTCCATACTGACAAGAGCTGACCTGTGAAACCAAATGATGTGTGACTTCTGAAGCTAGGTCAGAAAAGACATTATGGCTTCCACCTTGTTCTTTCTTGGATCACTCAGTCTGAAGAAGCTAGCCCCACCTCATGAGGATACCTAAGCAACTTCATGGAGGGCTCCACATGGTGAAAAACTGAGGCCTCCTGCTATCAGCCATGTGAGTGACCCAAATTAGAAATGGATCCTCCAGTACCAGCCTAATCTTCAACTGACTGTAACCCTGCCTGACATCTTGACTGCAGTATCATATGAGACCTTTAACCAGAAGCACCCAGCTTCTACAACTCCCCCAC